ATTTTTTCTAGGTGATAGCCTTCACAATCGTTGGGTTGAATCTCTGGCGAGGTTTGACGAATCGTTTACATACAGTGGTAGCATGAGCGTTTGCTTAAGACATTTCTCGGTTAGTTTTGAAGCAATCTCGTTGTTTTCTTTTCAAACAATCTTATTTATATGTAGTTACCCTTTTATGAGATTGTTTTTTTTTTAAATCATGGTTTTATCATGGTTGTTTGAACATCTCAGTAACCATTCCTTTTCCATCACATACTTGTTTTGGTTTTTAATAAATCACGCAAGTAGAACTTTTGTAGACCTCGACATAAGTTCGTTTTTGCTTTTTAATATTGCGCTTCGGCGAATATTATTGCGGATTAGGGGTATCTTTTGCAATTGTGTAGGCTATAGTGTGACCCGGTGTATAAAAAGATTTTGCATACATTCTTGCATTCAGGATTTTTTGATATAGCTTTTTTTGAAATAATAGGCGATTCATATATGTCAATGTGTTGTGTTAAGTTAGTATGCTTATAGCTTGCTCAACAAGATGGTGTTGTTCCCGTCATTTGTCTCGAGGGCGAATCTAGTAAGATTCAGTTTTGGAAATCTGACGTGGATGTATTTATTGTACTATTTCAGAGTCGGAATCTGCTGAGAGTCGCATATCTTTGAAGAGAAGGTCTCTAGGTTTCGGGTAAATACTTTGTGTGGCTTTCATGCCTTATGACTTATTTTTTTGTATCCTTATCATGCGTATGCACTTCAACCAATCTTATGTTTCGCAATTTATACATTACTGTTTTTCAGACTGGAAAATTTGGAGGAGAACGCGAAAAGAGTAAGAGTTGACACTAATGAGAATAGCTCTGATATGTCACGAAGGTAAAGCATTGTTATTTATGAAAAAAAATGTGTTTCAGTGAGATTACCAATTTTTAAAGAGACTTACCGACACATAAATTTAGGGAAAAAACATCCGAACTATTTTCGTCACCTTTTTATGTTGGGAGAATAGCGAAACTTTTAATTCATGTCACAGATGCTTTCTGCTTGAAGCAGTAAAAATTTGTAGTATGTCTCGCAACCCATTTATTTTTCCCTTTTCAGCGGAAACCAGACCGATTTTGAAAAAGGTTGTTGTGCGGAAAGTCGTCGCATCAGCGAAATGGTGGAGAAAATTGAGATGAAAGCTTACGTCGTTGAACGTGTGGTCGAACAGCTACAGATCACTTGCAAGAATTATTATGAGGAGGTAGGATTCTGAACGCAGTTTGTCTTTTTCCTACCGTTTTTGTCATTTTATATATATTCTTAATTATTGTTCCGATGTGAATGATTCTTTTTTGTGTGTCATTCACATATCCCACTAAAATTGCTCCGGATACAGTCTAGCGATTAACTTGATTTTTCTCTTTGCTAAAGTGACAAGTGTTGATCTACCTAACAAGCGAATTATATACGAAGTGGGTCTTACAGACCAAGACAGCAGCGCTTCAGTAAAGTGCTTCTATCAGTCGTACTATCAGTAAAACAACCCAAGATAAATCTAGTTTCTTTTTCTTTTTCTTTGAAAAGAAGGAATAATCGTATTTCCCCATTAAGAAAGGCGAGGTTGATCAATATATCAAGTTTCAACTCTACGACATATTGTCAGAGCTGAAATCACAGAAGGGAATTATACACTCTTTGGTATGTTCAAAGTTATTGTTTTCGTCATCTGTAATCGTTTGTTCTCACTGTCTCACTTACTGTCTATTCTCTTTTAAGCGCCAACGCTTGGAAGACACAGTGAGAGAACCAGAAAGATTGGTACGATGGGCAATTGATTGAGCAGATCTATTTATGTGCGTC